TTTAAATGCCTAGGAATAGCGAACGTGAAACTAGGGTTAATAGAGAATAGGAAAACTAATGTATGAGCTTGTGTGACGAACCATCAGCAAGAGGTTAATTGAAAGACCAATTCAATTAACCATTACGAGTCTTACTTAACCCGAATAAATAATCTATGAAATTCATTAATTTGGACAACTGGCCACTGTTTATATTAATTAGTTTTTTAAGGATTAGTAATAGCGAACGTGAACCTAATCATCTTAATCAGAGCCAAAGACAGATTAATCCATTGCACTTTTCATAAAATCAACCATCGGATCAAATGAGTCAACCCTAAACAGAAGTCTTCTTTATTATTGAATTTAGTTGATTCTTGCTTATTTAGTCGATATTTTAAATTTTAGTTAATTGTTTAAGTTTCTAGTCTTGCAAAACTAGAGAAAACTCTTCCTTTTATTATTTGTTTTTTTAGATAATACTAGTAGTTAGTTTAATCTGCCATTGTGTTCGATATCCTACTTACCTGAACTAAACTACTAATCGATATGTACACTACCTTTCGTGTGTTTGTCTTTGTGATTAAGTTAGTAGGATTAAAACTAGTTGATTTTACACACATCAAACCCAAAAGGATCCTTGGAGAGTACGCTAAGCGTACCACCAGTACTCCTGACATACTAGATCACTACACGATAAATGAGAACCCAAACACGTACGCTCGGTGTATACTTTCGTATGCCCCGCTTAGCCAAAGCGCCTATTAAGCACTTAATACTTTAAGTACAACGTCTAAAACACATATTTAGCTCAAGGGAAATGTGTAAAACAATAAATTCATTAACTTGATGCCTTTGCATGGTTCAAATAGACTCAAACCCTAGATTTAGCATTCTACTTTCACTAAATGAACATTAATCCATACATGGTTGATCTTCAACAATCAAGATGCAAACTTTATGAACTATGGATCTTAGAAACATCAAGAGGAGCAAGTCAAAACCTTTGGAGTGACATTTACTCACTAAAACTCATTCATGGGACCAAAATAAGACCAAAACTCCACTAGATCTAGATCAAAGCATAGAATGACCAAGGTCAAGACTTTATACCTTTATGAAGCTGAAAAAATAATGGATGGACTCTAGCTCTACAAACTCCAACTTGATCAATGCTCCTCAACCAAGCTTCTTATTCTTCTTCAAAGTACACCAAACACACACAAAAGTAAATTATCTCTATAAATGGGCTAAGGTTTCTAAATAGTGCTCAAAGGGGCAATAGGGGCTAGTAATGAGAGAAACTTGGTGCACAAGGTTGTTTAAATAGGGTCCAAACCCTAAAAATTAAGGTTTGAGATTCCACCAACGTACTCATGAAGGATTCAAAATTTACAAGTATGCAACTAAGGACCAATTTACAAACAATTCTCATACTAAGGGCATATATGGAATACATGGAAATCAAGATGTTGCAGTAGGGGTGACAAAATAGGGCAGTCTATTTAAGTTTAGTAGAAGACGGGTGATAAAAGGTTTGAAGTGATTGTATTTTGAGTATTTCTTGCTCTATTAGAGTTTTTGGTTGAATGAGGAATAAGAGGAAACATTTTTCAATGAATAAGAAGAATGTTTGAGTGAAAATTTGATAGTTGTTGGTATCTATAATGGTTGAAATAAGGTTAACATTTTGAATTTATGTTGAAAAAAGGATATATATATATATATATATATATATATATATATATATATATATATATATAGAGAGAGAGAGAGAGAGAGGATAGGATTCAAGTTATATTAGAAAATAATATTAGTAGGTAAATGGGCAACAAGCTGTGTCAATAACATTTTTTGGATAACGAAACTAATTATATAAAAAACTACACTCATAGATATTGGGTTATAACATTACTATGCATGTTCACTTAGACTCTATTGATGAGCTCCATAACATCAAACGCAAGGAAACCAAAAGTATCAAACGCAAAATATACAAACACATGTTGATTTTGCATGCATGCTTTATCATGTTAGTCACTTTGCATGAGACAACTTTTAGAGGAGCTTTCCTTGCAATGAAAACCTCACTCCTCAAGCGCCACAAGAGTTGAGACTTATTTTAGATCCACTCATGCATGTTTCCATCATTTCATTCCAAAAACTAAAATTTCGATTGGTCTAAGCGTTAGTATTCCCTTTCAACGAGTCGATCAATAAGTTCATCTGTGTATCTTTCTTGACAGAAACCCTGCCACATCTAAATATGTCAAAAAGAACGTCATTAACTAGATTGTATCGGTACTTGTAACTTGGGAGCTCTCTACAACGTATTGCATGCTTTAGGATAGGCGATGTTCTTAATAGTGAAACTGTTGAAGACAAGGCCCAAAATCGTATCACGGAAACAAACCAAGACACCAAGTTTTTGAAAGTTTGAAAAAATTTAAAATTTTGTAAGTCCGAAGAAATTTGAATTTTTGAATTTTTGGTAGTCTCTCTTTCTCCTTGTGGTATATAGTTGTTGATAGACCTGACAAACGTGTCGTGTCAAAACATTAAACGGGTTGAAAGAGCTTGACCATAACCCAACCCGTTTAATTATCATGACGTGTCGTGTCGACCCTTTTATGTTTGTGTCGGGTTTCGGGTTAAGGTTTAGACCTTGTATATATGTTGTGTCATGTCGAGTTGAAATATTTTAAAGATTGAAAGTAGGATTTGTGGAGGCAAAAAGGAAAAAGTGAAACACTGGTGTTATAAGATGGAATGACAAAATTTATAGTAAGTTTTGAAGAAAAAATGAAAAGAGATAAAGTTGGATAGCAAAAGGAATATGTGGTGAAGATGACTAAAATTAAGCAACTTTGAAAATTCGAATATTACTTATAATTATTGAGTTTTGCCCACTACAAGTCTATAACATATAATATATTTATAAAAATATGAATCTATAATAAACAATATATAACTAAACGGGTCATTTTCGAGTTGAAGGTCTTGACCCTAATCCTACCCGTTTAATTATCGTGTCGTGTCGTGTCAACCCGTTTACATAAACGTGTCGAAATCTCTGACCCTAACCCGTTAATTTCGTATCGGATTCGTGTCAGGTTTTCGTGTCGTGACATGTTTTGTCAGGTCTAGTTGTTGATGAGTAAAGCTATCGAGGTTGGCATGGTGTGTTCTGACTTCACATAATCCTGTATTGAGCCTTTCCCCATAACCTAATGAAATTCATTGATTTTATTTCCCCATAGCCTAATGCATATGAAATTCATTGATTCTATTTTTTAATGTTTTTTAATTTTATATTTATTTTGATCTAATAAATAAAAAAATGGACATTAAAAAGAAGATATTTGATTTCTTAAAAATCAAACATAAAGATAGGGATGTCAACGGGGGCAAACGGGAAGGGGAGTGCATCCCCCACCCCCACCCCCGAAATTCCTTGTTCCCCGTCCCCGCCCCCGAAATGTTCAGCCTTCCTACCCCCGCTCCCGCCCCCGAATCCCCTTTATTACCCCGCCCCCGCTCCCGATTGATTTTGGGTTTTTTTTTTTTTTTTTTTTTTTTTTTTTTTTTTTTTTTTTTTTTGGCTAAAAGTGGTTGTTATTTATGTTAAAAGAAACTACTTTTTAGGTAATAAATAATTATATATAGTAGAATTTTACATGTTAAAAATAAAAAAGTTATGACATCTTAAAAACATTATACTAACAATTTAAAAACATGTTTTTTGATAAATTTTGTAAGCTCAAAATCATGTTATAGTTTATTATATTTATGTATTTAATATATGTAAATATATGTGTAATTTATTAACGGGGTTCCCATGAGGTTTCGGGACGGGATTGCCTATCCCCGCCCCCACCCTCGAAATTAAAATGGAGGTTAACCTTGTCCCCGCCCCTAATTTTTTTTTAAAATTCCCCCCAAATGGAACGGGATCCCACGGAAACGGGATCCCACATAACTTTTTCACATCCCTACATAAAGGTAGAAAATTAAAGATACTAAGGTAGTGTTTGTTTTTTGTCTGCAGATCTGCGAGACGTCTTCTGTCTGCGCCGCGCAGACCACGTGCAGACATTAGTCTTCACAGACTGTTTGTTTTTTTGAAGACTGCAGACCTAAAAATGTCTGCGCGCCCTCTTCTTGGCGCAGATGTGGACTAAAGTCTTCTAACATCTTCAGACATCTTCTAGCTTAAAAAAACATATATATCTTTATTTTTTTAAAGTTTTTTTTTTAATTTATATTTTTTCCAACTTTATTAATGATAAACAATATGAAAAAAAAAAATTACAAAACTTAAAAAAAAACATTTGACGATACAAACATGATATTTTTAACAAATTTATAAATAAAAATTTATTATAATAATATTCGTTGAAGTGGTTTATATAAATATGAAAAAAAAATCATAATATATTCTTATATTTTTTTGCCAAAATTTTGTAAAACTTTATTTAATAGAGTATCATCAATTTCTCGAGAAAATATTTATCGTACGTTTTTAATAGATTTATTTGAAAAAATCGAAGTTTATTTCCATCTATTTATTTTGATCACTAATTATAATGTTTGGTTATAACTTTGCAATCAAAGTTGTTGGTTTTTATCAAATATGTATATGAATTAATACCATTTTTATTTTTATTTTTTATATAATAATACATAAAAGTTGATCTAGATTCGTTATATATTTATAATAAAGTCGTAAAAATATATAAAAAATTCGCTTTGAAGTTTTAAAAAATCAGTTTATTTAGATTTCAGTTTATTTTAATAACCCGCAGATGTTAAAAAAACAAACAGTCTTCTTTTTTCAGACTGCAGACGTTTGGTCCACCTCTTCTACTGCAGAGGTCTACAGATGTGGTCCGCAAACTGCAGACATTTTGCCTCAGAAAAAACAAACAGCACCTAAGTAAAAGATTAGGCAAGACTATCCGTGTAAACTGTAATTTAGTCTAAATTGTAATTCATGGTAATCGACGGCTAAATTGTAATTCATGGTAATCGACGGCTATTATTAATCGGTACTAAGAACCCCCATGATAAGATCCATAGACGCGTGACACGATAACTATATTCCCAGTTATCCCGCGGCTTCTCGATCCTTCCTCTGCATACGTAAATACCCTTCTTATTTTCCCCGCAGCCACGTTCAGCTGTGTGTCTCAGTAGACGTTCTATCGTTCAATCTCTTTCTCATCCTCTTGGCACGCTTTCGGATTGGGTAATTTGTTTTTTTTTTGGTAGTTGATCTTAAACCGATCAATTTCGGTTAAATTCATTGATTTTAATTTTTTGTTTTTCTTGAAAACAAAATTTTACAGGGTCTGATAACAGAGTGTTGTTAGATCTTGTGGGTCGGCTGTTCGTAAATCGAGAATTATGTCTCATATCCTCCCTGATATCTTTATCTTCTCCAATTTCAGATCGCTATTTTTGGGATATCATCGATTGTTTCTTCCGATCGACGAAAGTTTGCTTTGATTCTTGTGATAATTATAACCAAACAAATAACGATCTATAGGGTCGTGATAAGATTATCGAAATCATCGATTATAGCGATTTCAAGTGTTTTATTTATTTGTTTATTTATTATTTTTTTAATTATTCAAACGTATATAAAGTCGGAATCTTTAAGGTAATATTATGTCTTGTTAAATCTTAACTCGAAGATTACGCGGAAACCAGAGAGATCGTGATAGGGAAAGGGCTCAAGCAAGGGCTGGGGGTAAACCTAAAAATCCCAAAACAGATGGATTAACTCCTGAACAAAGACGAGAAAGGTTTCAGTCGATCGCTTCTTCTTCTTCTTCTTTTTTCTGACGTCTATTTTTTCCAAATCTATATGAAACTTTCTTCTTGGAACAATGTTTTTTCGAATAATGTTGAAATGGTTGATTTGGGGGTTTTCTTGGAGCAGGGATGCAAAGGCACTTCAAGAAAAACTGGCAAAAAAAGCTTGTAAAGATTCATCAGGAGCTATTAACGGGTCAAATGGCATTAAAACTAAGAAATAGATGTTGATTATGTGTGTAAATGGTATATATATTGTGGGATGAGAGATAGATGACATTTAATGGGTTTATTTAGATTGTTGTTTTATGACATTTGTTGTTCGGAATGTGTAACGTGTTAAGTATTGGTGATAATTTTATTATGTCTACAATTACATAGACTTGGATCTAGATTTATATTCTTGACATTTGGGTTGAGTTTTTTTTATACGAGTAAGTTTGATGGAACATAATCTAGAACACAACATAGTTAATAGAATGTAAGAATCGATATTTGCCTGAAGAATATCTTTTGGTACATTTAATATTGGTTAGAGGGGTGGTAGACAATGCGACCCTTTAGCCTTTTTTTTTCTTTTTATCTTTAGTCATGGAAGGTCTTAGTATTATTATGAAGGGGGCTTGTAATCCAAAATGGATTAAAGTTATTAGAGTGTAATGTATTGATGTATCATTATTTTATTTAATATATAATTTTATATTAATTTTTCTATATTATTATTTTATTTAATATATAATTTTATATAATTTTTCTACAATGTATTGAACTAGAGTTCAATGGAATATATATTTAATAGTTAAAAAGTTTTTTTTTTTTTTTTTTTTCGTTTTTTTCATTGAAGAGTTTAATGGTCATTGAATTCCATATCTATTGAGTATCAACATGATATCCATAATGATAGAGTTTAATTTATTGAATATCAATTAGGTATATCACCTCATTTAATTCTTCTATTAAACAATGCATTGTGGATGCTCTTAGTATTACTTTTCCTTATAATGGTGTTATTTTATCTTATCTATGGATGTTACTTTTAATAGGGAATGGTCTATAAGATATGAACCTAATAAATCTTAATAGGCTCTAAACAATGCATTGTGGATGCTCTTAGTATTACTCTTCCTTATAATGGTGCTATTTTATCTTATCTATGGATGTTACTTTTAATGGGGAATGGTTTGTAAGATATGAACCTAATAAATCTTAATAGGCTCTTATGGCGTCGTGGCTTAAAGTTAATCTAAACAAAAGCAAGGGGTTTGGAGTAATGACCAAGAGGTGGAGAATCTCGCTAGTATTTTGTGTTGTGAGATTGGGAAATTTCCACTTAATTACTTTGGTCTTGCTATTGGTGCTAACATGAAATTAGTCCAGCATTAGAGATCTATTGTGGATAAATAATAAATTCAAGATGAAATTATCCTCTTGGAAGGCTTTATAATCTTTCTTTTGAGTAGCCTTCCTCTTTATTTTTATTTCTCTTTTATTTTATTTTTTTCGCTTCTTAAGACTTTTTTGAAAGTCATTGATTGATTGGAGAAAATTAAGAGGAAGTTTGAGCAGAAAAAACAATAGCAAAAAGATTCTTTGAATTTATGGGAAAAATGTGGTCTTGCCTAAGAGTAAAGGTGGTTTGAGTGTGAGGTGTCTTAGAGTGATGAATGTGACTCTTTTGGCTAAGTGGATTTGGAAATTCAAAACATATAGAAATAGTTTTTGGTCTCCGTGCATTAAAGCTTGGCACAAGATTGATGGCATTAAGGGAAAACCTATTGCTAAGGGTTCGCTTCATGGTGTGTTGTACTCTTGATAGCATTAAATCTAGGAGTACAATGTTAGATTAGATTCACTTGTGAGGAAGAAGGTAGGGATGGAGGATGATATATTTTTCTGGAAAGATAGATGGCTAGAGGGTCTTGTTCTTAAGGATGTATTTTTGGAGCTATATCGAATTGAATCCAACAAGAACCGTACAATCATGGATAAGGTTGTCTAGAGGTGGGTCTGACAGGAGATTGGAGTTAGTTGGTGCATGGATTCGATAGACTAGAAGGGGGGAGGGAGTCGGTTTCTTTATATGAGCTAAAGGGAAAAAATTGGAAATATTTTCTTATCCTCTGTCTCTGATTCTTGGAGTTGGGTGTTGGATTTCTCGACTTATTCGTTGAGGATGTGCATGATGGAGGTCATCTTTGGGGAAGTCTCAAGTACTTTTAATTGGATTAGTTGGTTTTGTTAAAAGTAAATTGTTTTGTTTCGAGACTTATGTTTAACAGAAGCCCTTTGGCAATTAATCTCTCTCGTAAGGGAGTACACATGGATTTTGTTTTATGTCAACATTGCTTGAGGGATGTTAATGATGTTTATGGAAAGCTAGAAATGATTGTGTTTTCAAGAAGAAGGGAGACGGTGCTCTAAAAACGACGGATAATGTGTAGGTTTTGTCTTTTGGGTGGTTAAACCATATAGTTAGTTATAAGTTGTTAAATTGATTTGACTGGTGTATTTCTCCTACTATTGTTTGTACTTTATAATGGTTTCTAGCGTCTTGCTAGCTCGTTAATTTTATTTCCGCCATTTAAAAAATAATTTAGTCATCCATTAAGTTGATTACCAAAAGATTGTTTATAATTTTTTTCATGGTTTCACTACTCCCTCTAAGAGGATGTTTAGGATTCTATTTTGAAACTTCAAAAGAACTTTTACTGGAAATGAGTTATTGACATATGTAATAGGAAAATGAATTTAAAAAAATATGTAATAGGAAAATGAATTTAAAAAAATATATATTTGGATTAACATTTATGGTAAATAAACTTAATAAGTCAATAACTTATTTTTTAAAAAGTGTTTGTTTTAACTTATATATCTTTTTAAGAGGTTTCACAACTTAAAAAGTTATAAGGAGTTTTGAAAAGCTAGAAATCCTAACTTATTGGTATCTCATTTGTAAAGGGTTGATGAAAAGTTATTTTAAAAGTCTTTCACACAGCTAAATATTTTTTTGACTTGTTGACTTTTCAAAAAGTCAATAAATCAATAAGTTAATAAGTTGTTTTTAAATGAAATTTCAAACACCCACTGAAATGATATTATTAATGTTTATTCAACTAAAGTTGCCATCACCACCACCATTGTCCCAAATGTTAGGTCACCACCATTGTTTATAACTAATGTCATCTATTTCTCTTGAAGTTAAATGAATCCCCAACCCATTTACTTGTGCCTCATGAAAGGTGAGAAATAGTTGATTTAACACACATATGTTATTGGAAACATACAATGAAAATCACATGTTCATTAATGAACATATATAAAGTCGCATTCATCGTTTCTCCTCAAGTATCACTCCAAATCTTCCAATTATCATCCATAGGAGAGCGCAGCTGGTGGCATGGCAAGTCCACCTTGATTGTCTCTACTGGAATGTATGCATAGTTATGGCTGCAAAGTTAGAATGATTGGCATTTATAAGTAGATGTAGAGAGATAATGTTATGAAGAATGCAAATGTAAGGATTATGATGACGGGGGGGGGGGGGGGGGGGGGGGGGGGAATAAGAAAGAGACTCAACGATATGTATGTGGGGTGAATGGTGGTGTGGTTGTCTTTTTTCTTGTAGCAAGCTCCGACAATGAAAACAAACGCTCGTTCAGGCTTCAACAAACATGAGAACAAATCAAACCCACCAAGATGATGAAGATAACTCCTAATATGTTATAGTTGAAAAATCATGAAATTGGTGGTTGTATGTAAATATGGTTGCCAAGGTATCTAAGAGTGATGAAGTGTGTCAGAAGGAAATATCGATTTGGTAAAGGGAGAGCTATAGAATGAGGAGAGATGGGAATAAGAAAATGAGTCGATAGTAATTCAAATTTGGGTGTCTATGCTATTTGGATTACCCTCATTTTCAATTTCTATATTCACACAATACTGAACAACGAAAAATTATTCTTACAGTGACAAAAAGCGGAGATCGAGAGGGGAGCGGTCGGAGACTCGTTAGAAGAGCATGGCTCAACTGGTAGTTGTAGTTGACAAGACAATAGTATGTAACCAACGAGGAAAATCATGTGAGGATAACAACATGTAACGTCCCAATTTTCAACCCAAAATTTCCATTTTTATTTATTCAAATATATCAAAGTGTGATTACATTGTACTGAAACATGTAACGAATGCGCATGTGTACTGTAACATCTAAGATTTTTCAGGTTTTATTTTGAACCCTTGGGTTTGATTTGGTTGTACATTAGTCCCCCGAAGTTAAAATCTTGAAATTTTAGTGTAACATCCCAAAAATACAGGCCAAAATTTTCATTTTTAAATACGTTATTATAAAACCAACAGTATAATAAAACATCCATAATATCATGTCATGTCAAAACCAAAGTAGAAATAATCAAAACATGTTATCATAAAACAATATTAGAGTGTAATCCCAAAGATCTCATGTGCGGAAAACCATTGTGTGATGCGTTGCAATCGAGCCGACTCCTTTCCTTTGAAAACGAAGTACCTAAAACCAAAATTGAAAATCGTAAGCACGAAGCTTAGTGACTTCCCCAAATACCACATACCATACATATTAACATACTGCCTAGCATATATGTGTACTGGCCTACCCCTTCGGTCTCTTTCAACCGAATATTGTCTAGCATATAAACACATACTCGCATACTGTGATACATAACCGTGAGCCATACATATATCATAATCATTAAAGATTCTATGTGCCAAACATAGTCTTGACATTATGCCATGGGCCGCCACATGGTCTTTCTTGCCAAGCCAGGGGCCACCCCCTTGATCTCACAGACAAGTGCTAAGAGTCACCTCCTGGTCTTCCATGCAATCATCACAAAGACAACTAGCATACATACTACTCTACTTAGCTAATCAGCATATAGTGTGCCACGAGCCACCTCATGGTCTTTCATACATAACAGCATATAGTGCGCCAGGAGCCACCTCCTGGTCTTTCATACATATTGCCTAGGGCTAACCCCTGGGTCTTCCTACCATACGTAATAACATATTGTGTGCCAGGAGCCGCCTCCTGGTCTTCCATGCATAATGCCTATGGGTAACCCTCGGGTCTTCCTATCATACATAAACTAAATGGTCCAATATTGGTGCCTTAGACCCATACAAACAGTGAGGAGACTCACCTCACACTGCTGAAGTCACGCGGATAAAGCTGTGGCTGTTGGCTGATAGATTCTCGAATCTGTCAAATAACACCCAATTAATAATTGGGTTCTAACATAAAACCATAAATACATACTTGGGGTTAAATACTACTTTACCACTAACTTAGCTTTATTCAAGCCCAAGGCCAAATCCAAAGGCCCAAAATTCAACTATAAGTCAAAGCCTAACATATGGCCCAAATTTCCAAATTGGGCCCAAACCTTTACAAGGTCTTACCATAAGGCACAACCATTTATTCCAGTCCAACATTCAACATTCTAGTGGCCCAATATCACATAATCATAAAGGTCAAAACTATGGCCCATCTATGGCCCAATTTTTCCAAATTGGGCCCAAATCCTCATATGGGCCTTACCTTGAAGCCCATTAATTATTCTAGTCCGTTTGCTTGATCTTGGATGGCCCATTGATAACCCAATCATCAAGGCCCAATAGAAAGGCCCAACCATAAATCCAATCATCAAGGCCCAACAATAAACCCAAATGAAATTAGGGTTCCATATAAAATGACAATTAGGGTTAAGTGTTTCACACTTAACCCATTAAGGACTTATTTCATTGAGTCCATCATTATTCTAATTAAATCATATGGTGTGATTGGGCTTAATACACAATTCCATTCCAATGGCCTAAGTGTGGGTCCTGATAAGTCCAAGCCCAGAAATCTAATATTATGGTTTTCTAAACCCTAATTAGGGTTTCTAACCCCATATTAACCCAATAGGCCCAATAGCCAGGTCCTTTGACCAATTAGGGTTCATTAGGCTCCTTAAGATTTCACTAAGCCCATTAGTCATCTATTTGGGCTTTTAGGTCCATAAAGCTTTATGAGGCCCATTAAGCCTCATTGGGCCCATTAGGGTTTATTGGTCCCTTTGTCCAAACATCCAAACGAGTCACGATCTAACAAGGCACACCGCTACCCGACACGGCGGCCGGTGGCGGCAGCCACCACCTCACGGTGGTGGTTTTGAGTTTTTCTTTTCATTACTAATCTCTAATTACGCTTTACAATGTTTAACCCAAAATAACACATCAAAACAAAATACATACACAGCCACCTTGTGGTGGCCGGCGGTGGCGAGTGGTGGTAGCCACCATGGCAGCCTTGGCGGTTTTTCCCCTGATTTTATTTGTTCAGCAACAACACACGTACATGCTCCTGGAACACAGCATCGTTGGTTTATGCACTCAATCGGCGAAATTGTGGCGGCACATGGTGGTTGGAGATGACAGCCACCACCTCATGGTGGTAGTGGTGGGTTATCTTGCTTCCCTGTCCAAAATAACACACATACTCCATTATTAGCTCCGTAAATAGCCTATAACGATGAGCACACATACATTCATCCACCTACAAGGTTGCAGAACATCGTCGGAATGCCACTGAATGGCAACCAACGGCGGTTACGGCCCAAATAGCTAGAAGGGATGAAGGAGGTGAAAGATGGCCTTACCGTGAGCATTCCGTTCGCACTCAACTTGTGTCCGCCGGTCACAGTTCTGACTTTGTTCTTTGTGGGGTTTCTTCGGCCGTTCGCGACTTCACCGGAGCAGCAGAAGAGGTGACGATGGCGTTCAATGACAAGGTGGCGGAGGCTAGAACGATTGCGCCTGGCGGTCTTGCTCCATCGGAAACGGGAAGGAAGTGTGCGGTTGGAGGTTTGACAAGCGGCAGAAGGGAGAGCCGGAGATGGTGGCGGCTGTAAACGAGGCTAGGGTTAGGGTGGTGTAATGATATGGAGTAGATGGCATGATTTATCCGGTGTTCATACAAACTCCATGTGAGTTTGACACTTCCAACCCCTCCATCACATAAAATCTTCAAAACAGCTCCATAAGTTACATTTTAGCCCCCATCACTCCCAATTCCTTTTAGCCCTCCGATTCTAAATTCCTTTCAGTTTAGGTATAAAATCTACCAAACAACGCCCAATATCTTAATTATGACATATTCAGCCCTTCCACCTCATTTCCTTTAAGTTAATTCCAAATAATTACCACACAGCCCATGTCTTCATAAAATTATAACATTTAGCTCCTAAAACCAACATCTCACTGAATATTATGGATTTTAGGGCTACTACTCTTTAATAAACTTTATCTATTTATTTATTAAATAAACAGGGTGTTACATTTGGTATGGATTGTGTACGCATTGCGTACATCCTTATACGCTTAGTGTAATGGACTCCGTGTGAGTATGTTGCAGGTACTCCTGTACGTAGGGTGTACGTAGTTTAGACCAAAACCCTGAGAATTAGGGTTTGTGTACATTTTAAACCTCATTATGGCCTAAGAACCACCCTACCCCAGCCTCCATCCCCATTCTCGACCCTCTTAGCAAACCCTAGTGCATTTTGATCATTTTGGAGCTTTTTGAGTGATAGTGTGTGCTTTTGGTTATGAAGAAGGTTGTTCAAGAATGAAGCTTTGCCCTCAAGAGTTTGGATCTAGCATCCCCTCTTCATTTTGTAACATCCCTAAATTTCCAAATAAAATTTTCATTTTTATTTAATCAAAATATTCTCATGAAATATCAATGACAACTGTTTTCAAAATCCATAACATCCACATTTTATTTCAAATATTAGAGTGCCCCCATATAAAATGTCGGAGAGAGTGCACGACGCGCCATCAAGTCAGGCCCTTGCCCTTAGGCTCTGAAGTACCTTAAACAAACAACAAACTGTAAGCTAATTCTTAGTGAGTTTCCTAGAGCATACCCCAAGCAATCCACGTAATTACATAATCCATAATAGCTCTACAAGCTACACATAACACATAAGCCATGCATACAACATATAAGGATGTCATGGAAACCTTCCAAGGTCTTATACCAAGTGTCACTGGAATCCCCACGTGGTCTTAACTATCTGCCATGGGAACCCCCCACATGGTCTGAAACATCCCAAAAATACATTCTAAAATTTTCACTTTAAATCATTAATAAAACCATATTAATCAAACATTACATAATTCATTGTTCTCAAAACATCATAGACATCTGTCAA